TTTGCTTTATATCTCCCCGTCGAGATCCGGACCCTTACTACCCTCCCAGCCTTCCGCAAAGCCACCAAGTCCTGGCTGCTCCAGGTGGCCGGGGGTCTTGTGAAATATCCAGCCCCACGGAAACTGTGAATGTTGCGTTTTTTGAAGTGTTGTCTTTGTCTATTTATCCTCCTTCCCTTGTCTATTGTGAGCCGCCCGGAGTCCTTCGGGAGTGGGCGGCATACAAGACAAATAAACTAAACTAAACTAAACTATTTTAAGTTTAGAATAAAATTTATGTCTCTTCTTTCTTACAATGGTTCTATTATATTTACAACGTTCCGGGAATCCAAAACCTGAAATTAATTTCTCACAACACAATATATCAATGTAGTCCCATTGTTAGATGAGTCCCTTTCTCACTTGACTTTCACGAAGCAGCAAAATTACTGGATTGTTCATTGCACAATAATATCCTACTCTAGTTTTGCCTATGTGAAATAAATTAATTTTAACTATCACAGGAATGATATAAAGAGCCTGATCATGAATTTCTTGAGGAAGTTCTAGTAGATGTTTCAGTTCTGAGGGATGTCTGAATTCTGTTCAGTAGAAAAGGAAGACCATATTGGCCAACCTGAATGGAAAATGACATCGTATCCCTGTGTTTTTGTAGTTTTTTAGGATTGCCAATGATTATTTGGTCTTTTGTCTGAACCAGTGTAGATTGCCTACATTATGTTTCTATCCACAGAAACCTGTCTTAATAAGTCTTGCGCTTCATTAGAGCTTACATTCTAAATCAAAACCAACCCTTGAACTCACCTTTTTCCAGTTGGCTATTACAAAACTTCTGAATAAGAAGATTTCCAAAGCATCTCATTCTTTATTATCATTTTAAAAAAAGATATCATTTTTTTAAAAAATTCTGAGTACTATTGATAACTAACTACAACTAGAATTACTTTTAGGACAACTGACAGTTTGAAACAGCAAATGCAAGGTCTACTTTAAAAGTAGACCACATTTTGATCCAATATAATCAATGGCGAAATCAGGCTAAAAATCAGTGCTAAATGTCAGCTTGCAGATTGTAGTCAAAATGTCAGTTAAAAGAGCTGCAGGAGGCTAATTGGATTCCCCAACTTAAAAGGGAAAGGTTTCAAAGGTGCAGAATTTCCTCATTACATTTAACACACACAACATATTCTTAGCAAAATAGCAATCTAATGAATGCATTTCTGTCGTTTTATTTGCAGCCTTGATCCATGTCATTTATGCAATCATATCATAATAATGTACTATTAGCAGGGATTCTTTTTAAGCAAAGAAATACTTGGTAGGATGAAAAGAATTGAGCATAACAAAATAATATCCTCTCGTTAGCAGGTCATTTGGGCTAGAAGAGGTTCCTCCCCAACTCTATCCACCTCATTTTTTTTAAAAAAAAGAAGAAAATTGCACAATTATGGTATAATAGGGTACAATTTTCACATCACTATCTTCTCCTCTTACCTAGGGACCTAAATATAAGGACTACATTATTTTATTTTTTAATGTGGTAGCATCAAAATGGACCCATCTAAAGTCATTTCTGCATTTTTATGATAATAGAGGATTTTAGCATTTTCTACAGCTGAGCTGAGAAACTTTCAGTTCAAATATTGCTCCAGAAGAAGTGTAGCCAAAATGGCTTTGTTATTGCTCTGACTTTAATAGACCTCCCCTCTTTCTAGATTGGGGTGGAGAATGGCCCTTTTATGACTTGTGCAGTTCAACTCCCAGAATTCCTGAGCTGGCCATACAGGCTCAGGAATTCTGGGAGTTGAAGTCCACAAGTCATAAAGGGACCATTTTTCCCCCAGTAGGCGGTTGCTAACCGGTTGACTACCAGTTCGCTTGTGCTCACCTGCAACGCTTCCGCGCATGAGTCCAGGCGGGTGGGCAGAGCCTCCCACCACTGCCACTACCAGTTCGGCTGAATTGGGCCGAACCAGCAGCAAGCCACTTCTGCGTTCCCCACCTCTGTTCTAGATTAAACTTTCTACCTGAAAGGAATGGGGAGGAAAGAAATCCCAGCAGGGGTGGGTTTCTCGCCCCGTTCCAACCGGTTCGGTTGGAACGGGGCTGGCGGCGTCCTCGTGCACGCGCGGTGTACGCATGCGTACTAGCGCCTATGTGATGCTCCAGCTGCTCCTGGAGGATCGCGCAGGCGCTGTATGCGTCCTGTTATAGGTAAATCAAAGTAAATGCATTGTGGTTAGGCCTGAAGCCTCCATACCTCTGCCGAGTTTGGAAAGCGTAGGTGATGAGGGCCAATTTAGAGAAGGGAAGGATTAATAAGGACGATGTTTTGAATCCAGTAAAGATGTTCAAAGTTCATGTGACAGGGACAAAGGCTGCTCTTTTGCTCTAACGTGAGGGCATTTTCATGCTGCCTTTGGGCTTTCCCTCTTACTGCCTGCAGGCATTTTGTGCCATCATGTTTTGTGACCTTGATGCCGTTCCTTGAAGTCAAGAAGGTGGAGATTACACCTTAATTCTCCCTTACTCCCATCCTTAGTCTTCCTTCACTGTTTCCTTCTGCAGCATTGAAAAATGGTTTTGTGGATAGTGAAACAAAGCTTGTTTTTTTTTTTTTAATGAAAAGAATATTATATCATGATGTTATGGTATTTTTTAGAGATTGAGACCATTATAGGCACATTTGCACAGCGCTAATCTTAGATAGGAGCAGTCCTCGTATATAGAAAGGCTAGTATGTTTATCTAAATTAGCTCTTTATATCTCAGTTAGGTTGAGAGGTATATTGTATAGCATGGCGTCCAATGTGATCTTTTTTTTTTTAATTGCCTGGTGAGCTGCACCATTCTCTTCTCTTCAGTAACTCTTCTTGTAGTAATTTAGCGGGGAATTCAATGCACATGTTATTTCTATTCTCAAAATGACAAGTTGGGCAATGGTTGTGGCTTTTAATATCAGACCTAAGACTTGCAAATTCTCCCCTACAGTCTGTTGAATTCTAAATTGATGGTATCGCAGTCCTTCACTTGTGTAGATAGTAAAGTTTTTTGTTTTTATGTTGGCTTCATCAAATGACATTTGCAGAGTCAGATCCTATCCAGAACTGGTTTGCTCCTCCTTTCCCTCCCCTCCCCAGACAATTGACAGTCCTTACTTTTCTCTGTCTCAATTTTCTCCACATTTATATGTCCTACCATTCTCCTTGTAGCCCATTCCCAGGATGACTTCTGGTGCTCTGTAATAGCGTGTGACCACATAGGGTGTCATCATGAAGCTAGTGCCTGCAGTCCTGGCCAGTCCAAAATCCAGGATCTTCAACGTACAGTCTGATTTTACCACAATATTACTTGGTTTTAAATCCTGAAAGAGAGAGGGAGAGAGAGGGGGGGAGAGGGAGATGCAAGAGAGAGAGAAAGGGATAGGCATTAATCTCACACCCATAATATCATTGGTTTTTGTCTATTGTGGGAGAAGAGTGTGAAATGAAAGACCCAAGAGGGCCTTCAGCTGGCTGAAGATTATTCACTGGTGAGGCAAGAAAGGTAATCAGTATTTCAGTGATCGCCAAAAGTTTGATGACCACACAAGGATCTCATTTAGCATTTTTGGAGACAACTGAGAGTATCAATAATGGGCCAGTGATGCAACAAAGTGGTTGTGGTTGTGTCTGTAGGAGATGACCAGACTGAGCCCAAGGGAAAGGTCAAACGCATCGTAAGTCATTAGTACCTACACGCCCACAAGACACCTAAGCCCCCCCCCCCCCCGGAATACCTTTTATTCCCTTTATTTCCCTTGACCGTTAGTAGGTCAGATTTTTATAGAGAACTTAAGCTTGCAAACTCATTTGAACTGCCTGAATCTCCTGATTTCCCTGGCATTTAACAGTGTCATAATCCCTTAGTGGAACCAGGTAGACAATAAGGAAGATGACAATAAGGAAGATGATGGAAATATACAAGAGCCACTATTTAGGCAAAAGGGGCTGAACCACTTATTAAGATCTGAGAAATGAGACAATGGTTGGAAGAGAATCAGGTAGATGCCTTCCAGACTCATTGGAGTGAAGGGGTGGAGGTGTAGCCACAATGAGACTTGCAAGATTTTGTTATAGGTAAAGGAAAAGGTTCCCCCGCAAATGCATGCTAGTCGTTTCCGGCTCTAGGGGTGGTGCTCATCTCCGTTTCCAAGCCAAAGAGTCCAAAGACGTCTCCGTGGTCATGTGGCCGGCATGACTAAACGCCGAAGGCACACGGAATGCTGTTACCTTCCCATCCAAAGGTCGTTCCTATTTTTCTACTTGCATTTTTTATGTGCTTTCGAATTGCTAGGATGGTACAGGGCGGGGCATAACCTTTTCCTAGGGGGTCACAGCAACACTTGTAATAACAACACAAATAATTCATACACCATTCGAAAGCCCA